AGCTGCACTGATTTACTCCAGCTGTAGCTGATTATATATGTTAGGAGCATGTACCAAGAAAAATCATTGTTTATGATCTTGACAAAATTATGTCTGCTGGAAAAAAAAAAAAAAGGAATAAAAAGGAACAAACCACATATCAGTTTAAGCAGAAGTAATGAATGTGTTCAAGAACTGTTTTATTCAGTTCTCCCTTCTTTCAGTGCAAGTGTACAGACCCTCAGAAGTATGCATAAGCGGCAATTGAATATTTTCAGTAGAATTTCCCATGGCATCTCTTAGTTGAGGAATATAAAGAGCAATATAAATATGAGTGCATTAGGTCTAATAAGGTTGCCTGTGATCATGAGCAAAATCATGATAATGTCTAGGTCACCTAGGCTCCTACTGCCTCTTGATCTTTATGAAAAAGATCTTTATTTGATCTTAATTAAAAGCAAGAATTCTCCATGAAGCCATCGTTTCATGTTGCAGCAAAACTTCCACGCAGCCCCATATTACTTTGCACTTATACAGTAAAGATAATAGAGGAAGTGTGCATATGTAATTTTTACATAAAAAATTGTGAATCTAGACTAGTGACATTAAATTAGATGTATCATTGTCTTGTTCTTCATTTCTGTATCCTATTATTCTCATGTTTTGCAGTGCTTTGCAGGTCAAAGGAAAATGCCAAAGAGATTATATGGAGAGGAGAAAAAAAAAGGTGACAGTACTCCGTGCATTCTTAAACATTTAATAGCAAGCCATTCTCATGATTGTTTTTGTTATCACAGCAGTTGGGAATGCAACATCTATATTTAGCCACAAGCATTTCTTTAACAAAAGGAAAATTCAGAACTATTGTTTGCTTTCTTGGAAGATTTAGGTCTAACAGAATTCCAGTAGGAACATATCTGTTCCCATGGGCTATCATTCCTGGGCCATGGTCTGTACCAGGTTCCTCAGACAAGCATCGCTGAAATTGGTAGGGTTAAATAAATGAAGCTCTGCTGAAGATGATCCTGCTTGGTGGTATCCAACCTTGAGTCTGTAAGCGTTGCTTTCACTTCATCAGTCCTAGAGCTTGGCTCCTTTTATTTTTTTCATTCCCAAGTGCCTGAAGTGTATGTAGATATGTTCATGACACTGCAGTGTGCCAGGCAAACAGTTCTATATCTCTGCTTGGACAGGAGATGGGGCCAAGGGAGGCTGTAGCTTCTTTGAAGCCAAAGTCAAATGCAGTTCAGTGCCCCGCAGGGAGCTCAGCCTCTGCTTCCTACATTGCAGCTGGGTGACCTATCTCACTGTTCTGGGGCAGTGTCCCAGGCCATGATGAGGGGTCGCAGGCATCGGTGGTTGTGGTCTGAGCTGGAGTGCTGGAGGTGAGCACATTCAACCTCTGCTGTGTTTGCACCCCTGCAGGTGACCCATTTCCCAAGCTGGCCTTCAGGGTGGTGGTCATCACCCATATGATGTCACGGAAGGGCTCATGGGGCAAGCACAACTTACACTGGGATCCTTCATAGTCTTCTGAGTGGGGGTGGCTGAAGCAAATCAGAATAAGAAATCGTGGAAAATAGCATTTATCTCACTGAATAAATGCGCAGTATTGTATTTATTTGTACTTTTCTCCTCCATTTCTTCCCCTGCCATAAAAAATATGCATCTTCGGGCTTTATTTTTTTTTTGTGAACATTTTGTTTACATAACCAGTACGTTTTTATCAGCTCAAACCGATGTTAACTGAATTTAGCAAAGACAAAGCAAGAGGAAAATGCTCATTCTGTGCATGGTGATATCACAAAAACAATGTGTTTGAAGCCTTGTACTTCAAAAATATGCCTGAGAGGAATGGAAAAATCCAGACTCATATTGTAAAAACATGAGTCACAACAGCTATTATCTCTTAAGAAATGGCATTCCAGCTCTTTGATTCAGTCGTTGATGATTTCCCTTTTTAAGTTGTGGTGCTTTCTTACCCTTTTAAGAAACAACTGGGCTAACCCTGTCTATTTGTAGAAGTGTTCACTATTCACAGATTAAAAGAAATTAGACATAGAAAAGACCCATGAAATTGTCTTGTCCATTTCCTGAAAGCATTTGAAATTGAAGTAGAATTGTGCTAAATATATATGTATGTATATAACGAGTTTAAATGTTATATAGCAAGAAGACAAAAAAAAATCAAGAATTTATTCTAAGAGTGCTGGAAATGTGAACCTTGATTAGGGAGAATACACGAGGGAGAAGTAAAAGCTCTAATGATTTTTGTGTAGTATTTTCCACCATGTTCTTAGCTAGGTAACTTTCTGGAGTTTGCATTTGAGGCTGAAAAGCTCTGGTTTTGAGCAGCAGAAGTGTAGAACTATTGCAAAGGATGTGTGTGCACAGGTTCTGGCCAGCTAGAGTCTTGATCAGACAGGGCTGTCACGCACGCACATTCACACATGGACGTGTCCTAGGTTGGGGTAGGAGAACACATCAGAGCACAGGTTTCTGCAGGCTGGCAGTGAGGAGGAGTGTAAAAATGAGGCAGATGCAGGAGCATTTCTTACTTTCAGTCTTCGTAGCTTACGCGTTTTCTCAGTATATCTTTACATTTAAAGTTATTAATGGATCTTTTGTCCCTGCATTTGTGGGATTTGTAATTTGTTTTGTTACTTTGTGAATCCATACCTCCAACCTTATTTATTTATTTATTTATTTATTTATTTATTTATTTATTTATTTATTATTTGCAGCAAGCTTGCTGTGAAACAAGCTTCAAGGTATAGCCTTGCACCATGTGGAAAAGTAGCTCCTTTGGTTGCTTCGGATCAGGGGCTCTTCAATTTTGTTTGAAATTCCTCAGTTCTGGTACTGTAAGAAGCAGTGAGCAGTCCCTCCCTATTCACCAGAGTGCTCATATAGATTATATAGACTTATACTAATGACCCTCAGTCAACTTCTCTCCAGTTTAGAGACCCAGTCTATTCCTTTCTGCTGACTTTTTGTTGCTCTGTTCAGCAGTGACCCGGGATTCACTGTAAAGAAACAAAAATCAATATAATTAAAAATATATTTAATAAAAAGAAGAAGAAAAACAAAACAAAAGCATACTCTGGCCACCTGCACTGATGTCATTTATGGAAAGTGAAATTTTATTCACTTGCACTGGTGCTGAGTCACACAGCTTTGAGCATAGGGAAACTCAGTTTGTGGGAAAGCTGATAATTTCCTGTTTTTTCAGGAGAGAGGGGAGAACACAAATGATGTGAGGGGAGAGGCAAAAGAAAGAAGGAGAATATCTAAATAAAGGAGAGTATCTGGATATCCAGATTCAGGGAAAGGCTAAGTCATTTTAGTCTGCTTGCTCAGGCAAACAGCAATGCAGAGTATGATATATAAGCTCTAGTAAATCATTTCAGTATGATATGCTGTGATCAATGACAATTTAATGAATTCATTTTAAAACAAAGTCAGAAGAAGAAAAACAGCAGCTATTTGAAAGAGTACTTTGCTCAAATAAATTGAGTCAATAAATATGCTATTTGTCATGTGAAGTCCAGTTAAAGTTGTTTGCTAACAAAAATGCTGTCATCACAGAGCCTAATAGAAGCAAACTATCTGGAACTATCCACTATAAATAGACAAATACCATTTGAAAGCAGAAAACAACAATTGCAGCTGAACAAAGAATTGTATCACATGGCTGAATGCTGTAGGGTAGCCCACCTCAAAATCTATGACGATTTTGTTTGTCATCATCTGTTATTTTAATTCAGTATGATGGTCTGGTGGGAGTAAAAGAAATAAAAGAGAAAAAACAAAGAAAATAAAAAGCCTTGTTTTGTCTGTGAAATGTATTTTAATTGTTGTATAGTGAAGGTTGCTCTAGCTGGAAAAACATGTCACTTAAGTTACTGTTAAATTGTAAAGCAGGGCTTCAGTGAAGTTGAATGGATTTCTGCAGGCTACTAGAAGAAGGATAAACATCATCCCCTTCCTAACAGTAGTTTTAGATTGATTTTCACAGCTATTCCTCCTCTGAGGAAGCCTTTGGTTTTGTTGTGTTTCTCACTTGCACTTTACTCATATATATTGAAGATCCGCAATGCCTCTCTCTCATTTTCATCCTGGTGGGGATTGGAAGGGTTAATTGGGAAGCACCATCAACCTGAGATGGTCAAACCTCACTGCTTTGGGTTAGATGTCCAGACAACTATGTAGGCATTGGTTGGAAGTAGCCTGATTTTCAGATGTCATGAACTGGCAGCTGTAGTTGTTCTTCTCCTCAGAAACTTGGAGTTTTCCCATGAAGGCATCAGCACTTTGCCATGCATGCTTGGGCTTCCAACATCTTTGAGATAGTAGGGTGTGGAAGAGAAGAAAATATTCAGAAGTATTCGCCAAATATCCTGAAGATGGCATTTCCTATCCCCAAATAAAATGAATGCTGAAAAATTGTGTTGCTGAAGCCAAAGACAGAGATTATGAAGAATTTCTATGAGATACGAGTCTGAGCTTGACCTTTCACTCTTTATATTTGGAATAGAACAGCTGGGGCATTTTTAGAGTTTGCATCATGTGGCCTGAGATCAGCTGATTTAAATCTACCCTGCAGTTAACTAGGCACTTTGTTCATCCACTCCCAGAGCTACATTTTTTTAAAAAATGAGTTAGGAATACAGATTCCTGTGAATTTTGACAAAACTTAAGCTTGTATGAATCTAAGTTACTTTTAAAATGCGACTTAGTCTGCTAAGTTACTCATGCACTTGTGAATATTCCACAGTATATCTACAAAGTCTGATTATAGACTTGTTCCTAATTTAAACTACAATTTCAATCGTTTCTCTTTTCCTTGGCGATGTAATAGCCACATAACATTTGACGAAGAGTTTTCTGATAACCTACAAGTTATTGATTTATTTGTTTTTCCTTCCCCTGGGCTTTCTCCTTCTTGCTTTGTTCCTGCCACTTATCTTTGGTCCTTTTTGTTCCAGTTATTTCCACTACTAGGAGCAAAGGCCAGTATAGACAAAGCAGGATGAAAAGATGGCTGACTTCTTGTTACCACCGGGTACTAACAGCTTCCACCGGTTCACGCCTGAATCTTTGGCTGCAATTGAGAAACGAATCGCAGAGAAGCTTGCAAGGAATGCGAAGCAGGAATACAGAGAGCAGCTGGGTGAAGAAGAGAAACCTCAGCCTCAGTTTGACTTACAAGCCTGCAAGAAGCTGCCCGATATCTATGGGACTGTGCCTCCAGAGCTCATTGGAGAGCCACTGGAGGACCTTGACCCTTTCTACAATGATCGTAAGGTGAGCAGCTTACAAAGACATTCTCCTTCTTTGCATTTGCTGAAATATAAAATAGGTCACTGTTTTGAGAACTCTGTTTCTTGTCTTTCCTCAGCCAGTGAAAGTATTTTTTTCTAGTTTAAAGGATGAGAGTTTTGTCATGAGCAGGGCTCCCAAGAAGTACTTGAATAGCAGAGCAGTGGAGTAAACAGTGTAATTAAGACCTGGGTGTTTTCAGATAACACTGCATATGAATATACAGTGTCTGACAAGAGCAACACAGTAGATGAACTAAATGAAGGGTTTTACCTACTGTATCTTGCTGTCTTTGTGAGACTTGACTCTTCACAAGTCTGTTTATCACTCAAATCCCTTAGTGTTAAGAGCTTCTGTTTGACTTGACTCTGGCACTGGACTCCACACAAGAGTAAAAGGCACCTGCCTATCTACTCCTGGAGGGCAGCAGCTCCTTTCCTGCCCTGGGCTGGTTAAACTCCATCCTCAACACTATTTGAGATGACCAAGGGTTCACAGTATGTTCCGCACTAGCACTTTGCAGAAGGGTATGATGCAACCTAAAGTGAGCATCACTTGATGCAAAAACATGTGTAGGCAGAAAAAGGCCAGAGAACCACAAACAGTTGCAATCCAAAGGCTGTTGACAGCGTAGCCTTGCTTGCCTACTGCAGTTTGTTCACCCCATTCCAAACATTTTGCAACACAGAGGAGGATAGAATAAAGCTTGGAAACACAATATATTTCTAGATTGCTTCCAGCTCTTTCAGGTAGTGATGCTCTTGGTTTGTGACGATGCAATTTTCCTTAAACAATGAGTTGATACAATCAGAATAACCTTTTTTTTTTTTTTTTTAAACAAAACAAAAACAGTGTAGAAAAAGAGGTAATGCCTGCAAAATAGAAGTTAAATGGGCAAAGACAAACATTACTTATCTAGAAGGGATTAATTTAAAACATTTATGGCGGTGCTGTTCCTGTTCTTCCCAGGCACTAACAGAAGAATATAGATTTGCAATTTTTTATTGTGAAGGTCTTAGATGCAGGATGGGCAAACAGCAGAAATACTTAGAATTACCTGTGGACCTATGGAGTGGCCCGATCCTGTCTCCAAGTGACTCTTAGTTCATCATCATCTTCAAAAGGCATCTTCAAAGCCCTATAAATTGGTCAAGCATCCAACTCATGGTTGAGTGAGTTGGAAAAAGAAAGGGCTAATTAAAAAAAAAAAAAAAAAAAAAAANAAAAAAAAAAAAAAAAAAAAAAGGCCAAGAGCAATAGGGTGAGGAAAGTAACAAAATAATAGGATTGCCAGTACCTGGGAAGAAAAGTAGTATGAAAGTCCCTACACCACATTTTAGGTTCCAGCTCAACTTATACTTTAAAAGGTGAGTCCTCTGCCTCCCCAGCCTCATAATGGAGATGATGGCATGACATCCGTAAGCAGTGAAGGAGTAAAATGGTTGGTTTTTTTTATTTGTTCCTTGGGAGAAACTTCATAAAATTATAAGGAGTTTGAGGCCCAAGAAGGGAGTGGGAAGAAATTGGAGAGCCTGTAAGGAGTTTCCGTTTGGGAAGTGGGTTGGGAAAAACTGAATATTAATGTAAATACTGAATGTTCTCATTTCCTATTTTGTTTTCCAGACATTTATAGTACTGAACAAAGGGAAGACAATCTTTCGATTTAGTGCCACTCCTGCCTTGTATATACTTAGCCCTTTCCATCCAATCAGAAGAACAGCAATTAAAATTTTGGTACATTCATATCCTTTCTGTTGATTTCCCTCCTAGTGTGTTTATATTATTTTTAAACGCAGATCAGTGGAAGTATGAAATCAGTTGACTTCAATAAGCAGTTTTAAAATATTGTTGCACTTGTTTGCTGTTATAACCAGAAATGTGCTTGGCTTTTTGGTCTGTTTTATTTTATATTGTTAAATGAGGTATGAATATAATTAATTTGTACTATTGCCATCAGACCATCAGATATGTGAACTGCACTAGGGAGTTTGGTGAGTTACTTTGGTTTATAAGATCATAATCAGCAAAGAGTCAGTGGAGTGAACTGAGTACAGTAATTCAGAAGCCATGAATGGCTGATGTCCATCCTGGGACATGTCCTCTGAAGGACAACTTTGCAATAGGATGCTTTCCTATGGCTACCTTTACTATGAGACCCTGTACCACCATATGCAGTTCAATTTTGAACCACCTCAGAATTAGTTTTTGTTTTTGTCCTGAAACAGAATATTAAAAAAATATATCATTGTAGTATTGTTAGCTTATTTAATTTCAAGATGTTGTCCAGCTTGGAATGGAAAGAGATGTTGGCATAGAGCACTTTTCAGTGGAACAGTAGTTCCTGGTTACACCTTGTCCTAGTTCTGAAGTAACACATGGGTGTAACTCAGGTGGTAGTGAGGGTTGTTTTGTTTTTTAAGTATGTTTGCAGAAAGCTTTTATTCTGATTTAGTCACACATCTCTGAAAGATCAAACTGAACCAAATGTCCAGCTTTGTATGAACATTATTAAAAACACAGACTATTTTTCTACAGTGCACATGCTGCTGTGATAATTTTGTGACATTTTAGAGATAGAAATTCCCCAGCTGCCATTCACGTGTCTACCAGACAGTGCTAATAAATACTAGGTGGGTAGCATCTTAAAATCATTGACTTATTATCAAATTCAGGGAAAAAAACAAAAAAGAAAGAAAACAGATTACCAATGGTTTTGAGTGCAGTGGGAAAAAAAAGAGATACGAGAATATGTATGTCCTAAAATGAGGAAACACAGGTGAGGCTCCTAGTAACAACATTTATATGTAAAAAAGAATAAGAAGTATCATTGAAGATGTATTTATGGTTTCTAAGAATACACCATAGAATTTTGCAGAGGCATTTGTGCATCAAGGTACACCTGCAAGCAGTTCAGCATGTGCTGCTGTATACACAGAGCCAGGCAGTGTTTGTTAAGCACAGTTACATCAGAAGAGCCTCGCTGAAGCTAATTGAGGTAGATGGATTTTCATGGGTATGACTCAGAGAGGAATTTGACAACTGAGCTTCTCAGCAAAAAGTGTATATGTATAAATATTGGTTCCAGCTGTGAAGGCCTGTGCTGTCTTACTGCTCACTTTCTTCTACAGCTTCTTGTGAAGGCAAGAGGTCACAAGCATGTGCAATGCACAGGAACTACACACCCTTGGTGTCAGTCAACCAAAAGATAAGAGTGCAAGTCCTTATCACATTACCTCCAAGCACAGGGCACACGGAGGAGTGAATTTTAAAGACATGTCAGGAACAACAATATAGTTAGATAAGGAGCATAACATTTCTGAAGTGGAAGGCTGTGAAGCTAACAGCGTTTTAGTTGCAGAAGGACCCAAGTTATCAACTTGTATTGATAATGTCAGACAACCTCACAGCTCAGCCTTGGGCAAGCACAGGCAGGAGGCAGTGTCCAGGCACAATAAGACAGCAGCAAAGTTCCTGCATTAGGCAGTGCATTGTTTTGAGTCAATAAAGGCCTTTCACAGTAACCTGGAACACAAAGGCCAATTGGCTGAGTGGGAAGTCAATATCTCGGGCAGAAAGGAGCCTGAATTGGCAAGTACTCAAGCAGATAATATCACAGACACGAACTTGGGAACTAGATTTACTGTTTGCATGAGTGTAATCAAGCAATCTTTATTTTCTCCCAGGGCAGAAGCCAAAAGAGCATTAACTGTCACGTAAGTGTCTGAAGCAACTTCTTTAGCACGGATGCTGTATTTCCATTTCCAGTTGTTGAATGCACCTTGAAGGCCAATAGCAGAATAGAACAGAGAGGACAGACTAAAGATCATCTTATTATAGAAACTGTAGGGATCACATTTGTTGGTTAAGTAGCTGATGTGGAGTTCTTCCTCTGAAACATCAGACAGGATAGAGCCGTAAGTAAGGTTAGTCCAGTCAGTTGGAGATTTCCCTTTAAAGGGAAAGAATATCTGTAGGCTGACAACCTCCTACAAATGGAAATTACTACAATTAACTGTATACTCTTAAACTCTTTGAGGGATCTGTCCTCCTCTTCAGATTCTAGTAGACCTCATGATAGACCATGGTTTAGATGGCTGCCTGAGCAGGATCCTGGTCCAATTCAGTTATGAGAGTGTGGCAGTGGAGCCATTTATTCCATATCAAATACAAAACAAAATTATTGATTGTATGCTCTTTGTCTTCTGCATCATTAGCTATTTTAACATCATTAATAAGATTAAACCACTGTTGAGCATTCATTTATGTCTTTTGCTTTAAAGACTCCTCCTTATTTCATATAGCATATAAGCCAGGGGCTGTTCTGTGGTGTTTGGTTTCTCCAAGCAGTTTGCTATCCTTTACAGGAAATACAGCAATTGCTGTTTCCTACCTTTCCTAGTTATTATATATTCTGCTCAATTTGCCACAGATCCAGGATGACCTTTTCTCCAAAATTATCCTCCTTGACTTTATAATTTTGAATTCTTGCCCATTGAATTTTTTTCTCTTAAAGATTTCCTTTTTTTCATATTTTATGCTTGCAAAAAATGCAGTAATCTACCCTGTGATTTGGCACATCTTCCTCTTTAAGGAAAACTGGGACCTTGTAAATCACTTGTTATATCTATTGGGACTAACCTTTGCATGACCATATTAAATCTAATTTGTCTGTGAGAACTTAAAGAGCCCCTAGAATTCAGTATGCTGATTAACCATTATCCATCATAATAAACTCTAAAATAGAACTGTGTTATGTTTGGATTGATGACTTTTTATACTAGAAGACAATTTATAATTTTTAGGACTGCCTTATATAGACTACTTAAAATGTCATTCTGTAATTTCAGATTGGAAATACCCTATAAAATAAAAGTTTTGATTTCAATTTATTGTATTAAAAACCTTGATGAGCGGCGTAATATTTTAGATTTGTGGTCTGTAATCAAACGTTACTCCCCACTGGAATGTGTTAACCATCTATGTGATCCATGTTAACTCATGGAGCAGTATGTTTTCAAAAATTAGCATTAATAGTAATTCTAAATTATGTTATAGGCAATGGTCTTAAACCATAAAAAAAAGGTTGCTTCAATATCATCTTTGCTTTGCTTCTTTGCTCACTCTGTCCTTTCTGAGTAGACAACTGCTATCACTTTTTAACAGTACTTATGCAAACAATTGCATTAGTTTTCAGGAAGGCAAGTATTCATTCTGTAGGAATCTCCATTTTCTCTTCCTTCTTGTATGGTCCTCTACTTTCAGTGTGAAACCAGTCAAAATGTTTCTTCCTTTTCTATTCTTTGTCATTTAGATCTTTCTGATGAATATCAGTTTAAATTTGCTGTGCATTTGATGGCCCCAGACTGACCCTTTTACACTACCGCCTTGTGTCCTCCTGGTTATTCTTTTGGGTCTTCATATGAGAACTGTGGTATCTGCTTAACAGCCTTTGGGAAAGCTGCTACATTCATCTTATGCTAAAAAGAAGCAAGGATATATTAATCAGATTCACTAGTCTTATTGGTGATAGACTCACCATCCTAAAATGGATGATTATAGGGGAATTTCCTTGCATAGGTTTGAATTGAAGGAGAGCACTTGTCTGGTATGATCTTCAGATACCACTCTGTTGTTAGTGCTGTTGCTTTCATAGGATTTTCATTGTGGTTGAAAGAGTAATTCAATGTTTTCTAGGCTAACTGTAATTTACAGCTAATCATATTAACCAGATAGACCAGATGATAGTTTTAGAAACCCATCTCAGGCTGAATTAAGAAAAAGAGATTGGATATCACATTATCTTTCATGGTTATTCAATAGGAGGTGTAGGCCCCAGAAGTGGAAAATGTTTGTGAGATGAGCAGTCCCTTTGAGTTCAATTACTGGTTTCTGCAATGGCACCAGGGAATACGTAGGTTGGTTACTACCAATTTAACTTGGTGGTTGCTTTTGTGGCACATCAGAAAATGTTCCATACTGTATTCAGCAGAGGTTTTTGCTCTGCAGAAAGAGAGTTTTCATACAAACATTTCAAGAAAAAATCCTTAAAACAATATTGGCAGCTCATTATTCTCAAAAACAAACAAACAAACAAACAAAAGCCCACCAATGATATCTAAAAAGAGGTAAAATAAAATGCATTATTTCTACTGAACAAGACAAAAGAAATCTGCATTTGTATTCTTCTGTTTTTCCCTAACAAAGGTTATATCCTATTGACTGAGCAGTGGGTTATTTTCCTTTGCCTTAACTTCTGTCCCTTTAAACTCATTGCTTAAACTTTCCCAATAACATAAGATCTATTATTTACATAGGATGATCCCATCATGGTTTTTTTTTTTTTTCCCCTTTTCTACTTTTTTAAAGAAAGTGGCATGTGCTTTCAGGAGAGCTGTTCAGTGAACTATGTTTTCATTTTCAAGATTTTGATTTAGGGTGCTCCTTGCCTTATTTATGGCCTCTGCTTAGTGGCTCTGTGTATAGACCCTACGCTTAGGAGGTTTGTTTTAGCCATCAGTTAGGAAACTGGTACCTCAGCTGAGGTGGTCAGCTTTGCAGACAAGGCTTTATATTTGCCAACTGAGTTTGCAGATCAAACTTTAAAATTAGTGTTCTGAAACTCATATTAGCCTTTGGTGAAACTGTACACCTAGAGCAAGACCTAAAGACCCCTACATAAATTAGAAAGATCAGATTTCTAACTTGCCTATTGCCTGAGAAATGATTCAGGATGTAAAATAAGACAGGAATTTGCAGACATAGGATTTCCTTAAATATGCAAATGATACTAATCCCTCTTTTCATACAAAGTTGTGCACCTAGGCATAATATCATCTGACCAATACAGCTGTAAGTTTGGGGTATTGTATTTTCAGAAAACTGCATAGTTGGTGCATTTGTTTACTGTGTGAAGTATGCATAAAAGATGTAGGCAACAGAAAAGAAAATCAGGGAAGGGTTTCTCAGTTTTTCTGTGTTTGCATAATTACCTGTTCCCTGGCACACTTGCAAAGAAGTGGCTATGATCATTTTAAAATATCTTACAAATTATGAGAGAGCTGTCATATCTTGTGTGAAATGATTAAAATTTATGAAGTCTTATAACAGATGTGGTTTTCCTTAATTCACTTATTTACATTGTTCAGTATGTTTATTATGTGCACTATTTTAACTAATTGTGTGTTCATGGCACAATCAGAGACTCCGCCATGGAATAAATATGTGGAGTAAGTATCTTTGCTGGTACAAAGCTGCCTTGCCCTCATGTTGTCCTTCCTCTGTCATTTGTGACATTTCATCTTTTTCATCTTATCTGATGTTGTCTAATTTCTTTCCAATAATGCTGAGCATAGTATTTGTTCTGACAAAATGTTTTGCTAGGTGTTGTGAAAACTCCCTTAGTAAATAAATTAACATTTTTAAGTCTCCACCAAACTCATATTTATTGCTAAAGGCACCCAGTATGCTACATCTGAATGAAACCATGTAATGATCAGAACTCACTTCTAACTGGTCTCCCTGCCACAGTTCCCATGCAACAGATCTGTTGGTAGACGCCTTAGAATAAGCTGATGGACCTTAAGTTTATTTTCTTTTAAAAAAATACATCCAGGGCATACTTGATTCTGTGCTTAAATTAAAATTTACCAAAAGCAAAAGTTTCATATAGAGTGAGCACATAATGAGGAACGTCCTTCTCTAATGAGTAGCAGAGATACTTTGTGAGCAAGTGTAAAATTATTTGGGAAGACTTTTATTGGGTCCTCCCTAACTTTCCAAATCCTCAGAGACAAGATTTCCCCCAGATAGCTACATTTCCCCCAAAAGATACATTTTAAAAGGGGGTATTAAGCTTTAGAAAGCCCATTTCATTTCTTTGAGTTGCTTTAAAATATTCCATTTAGAAATAGATACCAGATGCACACACTTATCAACCTACAGTGCATTAAACAATTATTTTGGCTCATTGAACCAATCAGAAGACACTCTTTATTTTTGAGTGACATAGGATAAACACAGCCATCTGCTGCTCCAGAGCCTGGTGGTTGGTCTACTCGGGACAGTAAGGAGACCAGCAAAATGCCCTTATTTTAAGTTTCATAAGATCATGCAGAGTACGTCTTCTAGGCCATAAATTACTAATTATAGACAGGACTGAACCAAATATTTCATCTGATCGCAGTAATGTGCTAGTCCCAGGGTGTTTCGTGTATCTCTGTATAGTATTCTGCCCTCGAGTATGTCTGTCACTGTCCTTTTCCCCAGTGCTGTCCTTCTCTTACTGATGACTGTCACACAGTAGCATAATCATGACATGTGCGGCTGAAACATACACTTCTCATACGTGTGAGATTTGGTCACCAGGTCTGCATTTGGGAATTCAAATGTTCTTCAGGGAAACATCAGATTTGTTCCTTAATCAAAGAAAATATGGATATTGTTGTCAGTGACCTGGACAGGACACACAAGAAAGTTAGAGCAGAATCGTAACTGGAATCATGCAGCATGGAAGAAACCTTCTGCCTTTCATATTTCCCCTTCTCCTGCTTCCCTTCGTACCTCTCAGCTTTTCCTCCTCAAATTCAGATAATGAAATCAAGGCAGGTGCTTTCAGGAGCAAAATAACACAGTGAACTTTAATTCAAATTAATTAATATTGGATTTTAATTAATATTGGATTTGGAAATGATAACTTTAATTCATTTTGTTCTAATATCTGAAAGCCTTATAAAGGATAGAAGAGCAGAATGATATAGATATTTGTCCTACATCTTCCCTTAAAAAAATAATTTTGAAAAACAAAGACAGCAAGAACAACAAAATCAATTCAACTTGCCCATTAAAAGAATTAAACTCTCCCCTCCTCCACAAACATCTCCTTTTAAAGAAACTCTTCAGTTGCTAGAGGACTTTGTCCCATTGATTTAGAATTAGACAATGATTATACAATCAATTAAACCATCTGACATGCTGAATAAATACAAGTATTTTATCCCTTTAATGAGCTTATGCACCATTAAGTATTTTTAAAAGTTCTTTGCATGTGTTTTCTTCATGTATTACTGAATACACATGCTCTGAATACACACAGACTGTCACTTGATTGAGCTGTATTTGCTCAAACCAAACTAAACAGGAACTGTAAAAAGCTGTATACAAGGTAGTGCTTAGGTGTACGGTCAAGAAAGAAGTGTAAGAAACGTTTTAGGTCCCTTGTTGCATGCAAAAAACCCACTATGGGGGCGGTTTTGGGGACAACCCCAAAAAACCTACTATGTGCATATTATGACAGAACATACTGAGGTCTTAAAATATATCAAATTACCTCTACTGGCTGACACAAAGGCAGGAGAGCAGCCACTACCTGTAAGTGTGACCAGGTGCAGACCAAAGGAATACAACTAAAGAGAAAATGTTTTCTGTTTTTTTGCACAATGAAGTCCTTCTTCAGTATAATGACACCTTTAATTGCTTATACCTTATGTTTTTGCCAGATAGGAACCCAAGCAGGAGGAGTTTTGGGGAGTTTTGGTAATGGCACTATTATGGTTAATGATATTTAATGACAGACTGAACAGGAAACTCAAGACAATGTTTCTAGTGAAATTCATAGCATTACATCTTATGAAATCTTTGCTTTATGGGATTTTAACATTTTTATATTGCAGATAGATACACAAGAAGAACAATGCTATCATATCCACTGTGTCTTCATTTGGGGAAAAGTAGTAGGAAATGCCAACAATAGATACTAAATATCTATATTTTTAATAAGATATGGCCTAGAATGTATTGTCTCATTGATTTATCTGTCTCAGGTACAAACATAAAAAAAGAGGTGATATGTTCCCCGAAGGATGTCTCTGATAGTATTTAGAGAGCTGTGCATGAATACAAATCTGAATGGTGTAACTCAACACATTGCTGCTCTCCACAGAGAATTTGCCAGATTTTATTATTGGTATAATACTTATTGGAAAATTTAAGATGTATGTATGTTCTATCCAGTATTATTCACATTGAAGAAGCTGTCAGCAATAACTTACTGTACTATAGAAAAGAAAGAAAGAAACAAAAATCTCCTATGTGTCTTCCTCACTATCAGGCAGGTCAAAATTACTACATAGAGTATGGAGGAGAGAAGGGCTGAGAGGTATGAATGGTATTAATGTTTCCATTAAATAAGAGAAATCACAAGGATTGCTGCAAAATTCCTTGTTTTTTTCACGATTAAAGTCAGTGCCTCATAAATCCCACAGTGTAGCTTTTCAACATAGTATTTAAACTTCACTTAAATGAGTGAGAATTTGCTGCACACTCATCAGCAAAACTTAGTTTCATTCTGTGGCTGTCATGAGCACTTTCCCGTTTCTTACAAGTTCCTTTGTCCATGCATGAAACTACTCGTAGACAGGTCAATGCAATGCTCATGAGCAACCCCAACAAAATGAATAGTGCCAAACACAAGTAGGGCTGGAACCAACATAATTAGGCTAAGTGAGCTTCTGCCGTGTCTTATATTAACTGCTAAATTTTTTGCTTATCTTGCCCACTTTATTCCCCAGGTACACTTTCACTGGCATTTACACTTTTGAGTCATTAATAAAAATATTGGCGAGAGGATTTTGCATGACAGAATTCACCTTCCTCCGAGATCCATGGAATTGGCTGGATTTCAGTGTTATTGTTATGGCGTAAGTATCACTTTGTTGTATTTTTTGAGACTGTGATGCATAATAGAATATCTGAAATAATTACCTGACTGTTCTGTTTTTACCCTTAAATTGTATTGGAAATGAGAAAACACTGAAGTATGTTAGCATGGACTTTGTTTTCCTGTGTGGTTTTAGAGCAAGAAGTCAGAAATTTTCAATTTTGTTCCAGATCTCTCAATTCCCTAGACTATTTTGGAGAAACTATTTAATCTTTCTGTGCTCCACTAGAGTTGTTTGTAAAATATTTGTAATAATACTTGAATGTGTAGTGTAGGTTTGGGAGCATTCAATAAGTCGGCTGCAACACCTCGATTAGTGGGTGTGTGACTATTACTCCTATATGAGAATTCCTATTTATACCCTATCCATCCAAAACATCACGATAGCCTCTCTGGTGCTCCATTTAAAATTTGATCTCACTTTTAAACACATAAAATGGCAACTAGACAGACTCATTGTGGATCGATTATGCATTAATAAACAGGTTTTAGTTAGTGACTGATAAAAAAAAGACTATCGCATTGACATTCATCTTAGAAATGTACTGGAATACGATTATATAATGGGACATTCAAAAGGGAGTGAGAAGTTGGAAGACGTATCTGAGAAATGGACAGTGGAAACCTTGCAGGGAGGATACAACTGTACTTCAGGATTTGCAGTCATCTCAAGGCTAACCTTGACTTCACAAATCTTTTTCATCCTGAATATAATTAATGCTTTACTTATCTAAGGAATTAATTTGAAGGCTTCTGAAACTTGCTTCATATCTTGGGAATAGAAATATGGCCCTAACAAGATATTTCCTTCTAGTTATTTACTTTTGCTTAGACTCTTAGAGTTCATTCAGGACATTTGGGGTTCTGGTGCTGTGAAAGAGCTGATGGAGCTGTGGCGTCTAGACAGCTAAAAATAGAGCAGGATAGGGGAGGTGTCAGCCAGTGCTTGTGGATGACATGGGGTCAGCATAGGCTCTGACCAAGGCAGGTGTCTAACAGAGTCAGGATTTCTTACTGAGCTAGAAGTCCAGATTCTCTTGATGGTCACAGAATAGAGAAAAGCACTTCAAGAGCTCATGTCATCTTGAAGTGGAAGTCAGCAGAGGTGGCTGGAAGACACCACCTCCTTGCGCTCATGATAGAAGTTTATGATAACAGCTCAGGTCTCCTCATGAGGAGCTGCAGAAAAGTACTGTACAAGTCCTCTGAGAGGCTGTAGGGAGTAGGACTAATGAATTTAGTGGTGTTTCGCAGAGGAAGACCACAAAGATGCACAAAACCTCTGTGGATTTCAACAGAGACATGCCTGTTTATTTTAATAGCCTTTGGGTAAAAGCCATCCCTAAGGCCAGATCCTGAAATCTGTTACTACATTGCTATAGGTTCTGCTTAAATGACATCTGGTCATCATGAAAAGAATTAAAAAAAAATGCAGTGTAGATGGGGAGGTGCTTTTGGAGGTCAGTGCATACTAGGTATTTTTCTCAGGTAAACTTTCGCTCAAACAACACTAAATACGATTCTTCCACAATATTTAGATACAGAAAAAAGAATATGAAGAGTTATAAGTCTGATATACCCCTGCCCTTGGGATAGTAAAATCAGGGTGCTATAGCTCAACCACTTGTGAGTTAGTACTTGATGGAGGAGTTCGTTTGCAGGTGTCTGAATTCCTTATGATGAGGAGAACTTCTGTGCATAGGTTTCTGCTAGTCTAGAAGGCAAAACACCTTTGATAGTAAAGCAGAAATGAATAGAGGCAAGTACAAGATAAGCAATAATTTAAGTATTTGAATATTCTTGGCAAGGCAGCTGCTCTCCTGAGCCGAGAAGCTGAGGATATCCCCACTCTGCTTTACAGCAGTCCTCTTGGAGTGTCTCATCAACTGCCACTGTAGCTCATCTCGGGGAGGTCAGTGCCAGACAAGCTCTAGACAGCCCTTAAGTTCTGCTCAGGTGGTCCCTATAGGTTGGCATTTTAGAGATCTAGAAATGTGAAGGTTTGCACAAACCTTGCAGCAGACAATTGCCCAGAGCTGAATTTCACTCCCTGAAGGTGAGAACTAGGATTTAATGTGCAGAGGTTTTAGGATTACACCTTTTTGTTGTTCTGATTATACTGAAATTGAAATGCATCTCAGTTCTCCAGCACTAAGGTTCATAAAACCTTCCTTGAAGGTTTAATGAAGAACCTGGATCTCTGCATGTTGTTTTCCCTCTATATTGCAGTTTTCTGTCAAATTGATTTTTCATCTCTTATTTAGAAGGTCCTAAAATACAAGGGTTGCAACTGAGAAAAAACAAAGCTTCTTATAATCAAATTAACCTAGTGGCTGCGTTCTTCAGAACTGGCATCCATTCCTGTTGTTTTTTTTATTTTAAGGGATATTATATTAGCATTTTGTGTCAAATATATTTTGAGACAGTTAGTTAAGGAGTATAGGTGGAAAGGAAGAGAAAGAATTTATTAGTTTAGCCAGTTGTAAGTGGATCATTGAGCTCATAGTCAGCAGTGAGGGAGTTAAAAATGATTGCAATTTGATCTTCATACGTACAATGAATCCTGCTTGCCAAGTATGTAACAAGCAGATAGTACAAAGGGTTGGATAATGGACTCTCTTCTGATACGGTTTATCCTTCATAGAAATCCAATTTGCAAGTAATTTAAAGTAAGATTGATTATGCAGGTAGCTCTGCTGTGTCTTTTCTTGTAGCTAGTGTGATACTCGTGGTTTTTCTGCATCTGGAAATAAAGACATTATGAGGGTTCAAAATGGACTGGAGGATCTGATAAGGGGACACGAGGTTTAACTGAAACAAGAGTGTTAAGCCACAAGAAAATCTGATTCTTTTGCTTTTTGGTAGGTTTTATAGTGGAATGACCATCACTTGTTTTTGATCAGAAATGACATAGACTGTATGGGTGACAGCCAGGGAGTAAATTTTAATAGCTCATGAGAGAATAAGCACTATTTCCAGGGGTCTTCTTCTATACATTGCTAACACACTATTTCTCAGCCATGGCTTGTGACCCTCTGTGTGGTCATGGGTGGCACCAGGGAAAGCTGTGAAACTGTCCCCATTTCAAACACCATTTTCAACCCTTTCTAAACAGGCAAGGGAGAAATAGCTATAACTCTGGGTTGCAAAAGGAAACAGATGCCGAGAACTGTTGAATACAATAAGCATTTTCCTGGCTAACACAACTTGTAGAATTCAGTTTTCTTCTCACTCCCTGATAGAGAGGAATTGAGCTCCTGCAGTTTCGTCTGAGAGTGACAGAAATAAATCTTAGTGGGCTATCGTGAACAAACAGGAATAGCAGATGCATATTTCACATGCTTATTTACATATTAATAACATGTTTTTACAAGTCTCTAGTCAGCAAAATCACATTAACATGCTGTTGCTTCTCCCAAAATTATTTTGGTCATTCTTGCATACTGCAGAACAATTTGGGAGAGAACAGCTGTGTGAACCCAGGGAGGAATTAGAAAATAGCCCAAACTTTTTGTCCAGATTCCCTTATGGGACTATGAAGAGGAAAAGCAATAGTGCTATTCCAGACCATAGTCTGGATTAACAGATATCAAGATGATGTTTTTTAACTCCCCTAGAGGCCTTTGCCTTAAGCAGGCTTTGTAAAATAACCAGGTGAGTTTTGTCCTTAACAAAACAAATGCCTCTGTTTGTAGAAGAATATGTAAATTTAATAGTAATATGAAAGAGTCCAAGACTTGTTTTGTCCAAAGGATATATTTAGTGTTGACTATGGTGTTTACCCTATGATGTCTTGAAGGAAATATTTTGGAAAGTAATGCCAAAAGCAGACTTGTTCCGTAACTGATCTGGGCATGTTTTGCTCCGATGATGCACAGGTCTCTGTGATGACAAATGGCCAAGGTCGTGAAGAGCTGTGATTAGTATTTTAATCATAAACAGCCCGTAGTAGGACTGCAATTATATTCATTCAAAAGCAACCAGAGGGCATGGACTTGATGTACGAAACAAAATCAAATTTGAAGTGTCTCTTGAAACCAAGGTCTGCTATTCCACACAGTGCAGCATTGTACATGAAATCGCCCAGTAGAAGTATTTGAACTGATATCTCCCTGTATTCCTGTGTGTGGTTTGTAGAAGCTGTTATTACAAAATTAATTTGGAATTTGAAATTTTTATTTTTTAAAAGAATCAAAATAACTCAATGTTTCCAATGATGTGAAGAATTTTTGTAAAACTACATGATAGTAAAAATATTTCTAGTATTTATTGCCGAGCAGCATAATAACAAAGTTCACATGGCCATTTTAAAGAATTGATGCCTATTAGACAAGTTGAATAGTTCAAGAAACTTTTGAAATAACATGTACTATGAAAAGCCTATGGATAAATGGCATCAATGAACAGCTTGAAAAGTGGATGCACCTTTCATTCAGATGCATTCACTCCTGCAATGTATGAATACATTCTTCATTCAGACACGTCTCATACTCTATTGAATAATTCCAAATAACTGTGACTTAATTCTACAGGTATGTAGGAGAATTTGTGAATGTAGGCAGTGTTTCACCTCTTCGGACTTTCAGGGTATTGAGAGCTTTAAAAACTATTTCAGTAATCCCAGGTAAGAAGCCCTGATCCTTATGTATTGGCTCTCAGCTACAAGTGATTCTTTCTCTGTCTCTCTTTGTCCCCTTGACTGTTGTTTTTGCTGGTGTTTTGTCATTGTCTGTGTGTGACTTTCCCTTGTTACAGATACATAACTGAATTTGTGGACCTGGGCAATGTCTCAGCCTTACGAACGTTCAGAGTACTACGGGCGCTGAAAACAATCTCAGTCATTTCAGGTGAAAATCAGGTTAAACACTCCGGCTGCAGATAAAGCCTACATGCCATTTCCAGTAGTAAACACAATAAATCCAAATGACTTAACTATAGATAACTCATCAGGAAATGGAGAAATGTAGGGAATGTGACCTGTCAATAGAATACATTTTTCATATGTTTTCCAGTACTTTTTTTCTGTGGGTGAAAGAGAGTGCTCCCGGATTTACAAATCCCAATAAAATAAATTCTGCTGTGTAAATGCTTGTGTACAGTGGATCATGAATCACATGCATAAAGTACTCATGCATGGACCTTATGAAAATGGTAATGAAATTCTAATAAAATATGTGGATATTGATTTTAAAAATGGAAGGCTAATTGGCCTCAAAATGTTTCAGAGTTTCAGAGCACATTGATAGAAGAATCTAAATCTGTGCTGTGAGCTGATACCTGCTCAAGACTGAGAGCATAGGTAGCCTAATTGGTCTGATGATTACCCTCTTGCATGAGATAGAAAGATTATTTAATTTCTGACTCTGAAGAGATCAGGAGAAGTTTCGTTATTGATTTTACTGGATTCAACATTTCACAACTTATTTTTACAAATTTTTACAGCCAACAAAAACAATGTTTTTTTCTACAGACCTGTTAACATTTTTTTCTCATATATTTTGATCTGATTTATTTCTGTTTCATAAACTAATAAATAATGTTTCCTACTTACTAAGTTATGCAGAGAAGAGTCCACTTAGGACCAACTATTAATGTATATATTTGACAAGTGTTATCTATAGACAGGTCTCAGCCTCAGTGTTTAACATCTCCAACATGCATGGCAAGGTAGAGAAGATAGCAAAAAAAACGTGCATGGTAGATCTTATCAATGATAATCCTGAACAGATGTTGGCAATCACATGTGAAAAATATTTTAAACATTGAGAAAACTGCTCTGAATCTCACACGCACATCTATATAAGGTTAGAATTTTTTGCCTTCTATCAAAGTAGGAACATCTGCTCTACAACATAAATCTAAACAAATGCCAAAACTTTTAGGGATGTGTATTAGAACTAATCACCAACGCTCATTATATTGTAAGCTGGAAATGGGAATTATGGAATGGCTTGTTAAAAGTGAGGAAAATATCTTTATAAATATCTTTATAGATATTTACTCTCTAGTTTCAACAGCAGAGTAACAGAAACGAGTGAAATGACTCAGAGAGCAAGGTACTTTTCAGTGCAAGTGCAGAAAATATATCTCTGAAGGAATATTTTAAAATGATCAGTCATTACGTCTAGTATTTCTGGAAATCAGAAGAAAAATATATATATCAGTTAGCAAGAGAGATTTTATTAAATTTTGGATAACTGGATTTCCACAGTGAAGCTTTCTGCTTGGGAAAGCCTTAGATGGGCAGCAAGTTGAGCGTGGATTTACAGATCATGTGAGATAGCAGCAGCTATACAGAAGTCAAAAAAAAAAAAAAAAAGAATTTCTTGGCTTCCTTTGCTAGTGATTTGAAGACTAACTTGCAGGGACAGCCGTCTCCAGGGGACACCTTTCACTTTCCATCTTGTCTCAATCTTGAGTCTCTTTAAAGAAAGGCCTGTCAATTTTGCTGAGTTATATATATTCATTTTCTGATGTTCCCTATCATAGTTGGAGCTGAAACATATTTTACATCACTAAACTGTAGCTGTTTTGTAGGGAAAAAGGGAGCGTAGAGATCCTGAAAAATTTTATTTAAAATAAATTCAAACCTTTCAGTGATGCTAACACCTACATGTTCCACTTGTTAGTTACAAAAAGAAAAAGAAAAAGAAAAAGAAAAAGAAAAAGAAAAAGAAAAAGAAAAAGAAAAAGAAAAAGAAAAAGAAAAAGAAAAAGAAAAAGAAAAAGAAAAAGAAAAAGAAAAAGAAAAAGAAAAAGAAAAAGAAAAAGAAAAAGAAAAAGAAAAAGAAAAAGAAAAGAAAAAGAAAAAAGAAAAAACAATAAAGGGCAATAAAGGGAAGTGTATTATTTATTAGTGTGATATATTATAATTCACATTCTCTTTTTTTTTCCTGTGATTAGTTTTCTGATAACTGCATTTTTAGGTACTACTAACTAAATTACTTGCTGACATAAGTGCAGGAAGATATGCTAATAGAAATTCTGATTCTTAGATTTCTTTTGTCAAGATTACCTGTGTCTTGCGTATTCTTAAATTACAGATGTAGAGAGATACAAATCACTAAGGATAGTATAGCTGCATGTAAAACATGTTAGCAGAAAATTTCAGAGAGCTTGGTTCATTTTTCAGTTAGGCATATATTTTAAAGAAGGTATTGGGCATGATACTGTGTCTATTCGGAGCTCAGGCCAAATTTATAATGATAACATGGACTTATTCTTGGATAAAATATTATTCCACAATAGAAGCATGAAGATTCCACTTAGAAGCATGAAGATGATGAACACTAATATCTTTGCTGAATTTTTTGTGTTGAACAGCTAGAGTGAGGGGAAGAGAGTTTTTATTAATTCCTCTGTTGTATCTTAGAGGCAGAACACTGAAATGTATTTTCTCTTTGGCAAATATCTAAGTTTTTCCTCTATAAAATTGATCACACTTTTCAATCAGGTAGTTATGTTTGCACAAACATACTTGGCCTCAGCATGCTCAGTGAAATTGCTTACCGAAAGTAATGGGCCAAGTCCTCAGTGGTGTAAGGCTTTGGTCCAGCAAAGCACTTAGAGGCCAGTTTTCAAAGGCTTTCTGCTTCACTTGAAATCAATGAGTTTCACTATTGACTCCAGAGGGAGTCAGTAAAGCTTGCAATTAATGCTTTTAAAAATCTCACCTACTCTTCATGCCTGGCTTTCAGTGCATAAGTTGGTCCAGGGACATTTAGGGGACACAGGACTTAAAAAGACCACCCATGGCCCAAGTTGGTATTGGGTATAACTCAAACCTGACCTGCAATTTATTGCCTAACTTCTCCTAGGAATCCTTAAAGGATATCTTCCTAAGAAGCCTGCTCCAATATTTCCTTATTTTCGCCAACACAACCCCTGCCTGAGGAGGAGGGATTCAAAGTCAAAAAACAGTCCAAATTTTAGTATTTTCCTGAAAGCCATGTGTTTCCTGGTCAGAAATTCGGCTGCCAGCATTTCCTGAGGCCATGGACTGCTCATCTGTGGGTCCTATCTCTGAGTCCTATCCTCCTACCTAGTCCTAGACCCTGCTATGCTGTTTGGCTCTCCCTAGATGCAACATCATACTTATTTTTCATCCTACATCCACCATGCAGGATGTCAGGGCAGTAACCCATGATGGCCTTTAATGTGCCTGAAGACCATCATGTAGCCCCTCAGTTTTTCTCTTATCTGCACTAAACAGCCCGTCTATCCTTCCCAACCCTTCAGGATATCAGGTATAACATGCTGAATACTGTATCTGGGTATTTATCTGGCACAACAGGATGCTCCTCCAGACTCATTAAAAGAAAAGTGGTTTTAATTTCTTTGTATGTCCTTCATGTTCAGGTGCTTAGAAGTAGGTAACATTTTCTGTGCACAAGAATAAGCTCTTAACTGCCAGTGATTTTATTTATTAATTAGCATCTTGCCTATTGCCATGGCAACCAGATTCAGGCTTTATTAATCTAGATGGGAACCACAGCATTCTCTGTCAGCTGTAGGAAAACCCCGTAAAACCCCGTAAAATCACTCATTCGTTTCTCATTAACCACTTACCCAATACTCTAGTGAAGTTAGTAAGAATTTTTCCCACAGAGGGTCAAGCATTATAGTTTATCTACATGGAAATTTTTTGTTTTGCCTTTTTTTTTTTTTTTTGTGTGTGATAACTAATAATTTAGGTAATTTAAAGACCGGAGGCAACCCCTCCACCAAAATGCAGACCATGAAGATCATCAGAATACTGTAAAGTGTGTGAAGTGCCCTTATGCAGACAATATCTGTCGTTCTTTCTAGAGCAACATGCACGTCACAAACATCTCACAGAAAATGACAGGATACAGGCAAAAGGTGACCTCACAGAAAATTGGGCCAAGGCACTTTGGGGCCTGATCCAGCTCCCATTTAAGCCAGTGTGAGTCTAAAAGCTATAAATAGCACTGTGAATGTTATCCAGTACTTTACTGATAGCCAGAACAGAGCTTGGAGCCCAAGAATTAAGGCTGTGTGGAGGAGACTGACCCCTGTGCACTGCTCAAATCTCACTGAAGTTCCCCTGCAGAAAGACAAATTTCATCCTCATGGTGCACAAATCGCCTCCTCAAAAAGTACCTAGATCAAAGGTGAGACGTACCTGACATGTTGTTGGCTTCCTTTGAGGCCAGACTGACAATCACATTTTCATGGAAAGATTTACAGAAATGCTGAGAATCCTTCAGGTTTGCCAACACGATATTAAACTTTTAGCTGCACATGTGAGACCCAAAATGCTTTCATCAAGAGCGAATACTCTTCTCCATTCGTGTGATTCCCACAGACAATTATACAAGACATGCACACTTTCAGAAGGACCAGATTAAGTTGAGAGAATCATGGTGCAAGTCACAGTCTCTGTTTTTGCTTTTGCTTTCTCTCCTTGCTCTTTTCCAGATTGTGCATGACAGTGTCTGGTGTTCTTGTAGGTGATTGCCAACATCTGGTATGGATGCCATATTGAATTGTGCTAACATATTCTTACATCTCATAGGAGGAATGGGTGATGATGTGGGATCTTGCCATTTCTCATTGTTTGGTGTTGCTTGCATTTTCTATGCTTTCAGATTTGCATATGAAAACGGTTTATTTGATTAACCTCTGATGTTCAAAGCTGTTAACCTCTACCAGTATTAACAGGAACGTTAGGACCAAATCCTTCTTGTTTTCTGCAGCTGTCAGGCTAATTATATAGCCTTCATTCCGCCGATTTTAGATGATCTGGTATTGCTCATGTCAGGCAAGCAGGATTTGGCCTAGAAGTGCAGAAAGAATTCAGCGATTTAGGAAAAGACTATTGATTACTCCATAAGGAGTAATCTACAGACCCATTGTCATTAATGGGTGTTGATTTCACTCAGCTTTGGATCAGCTCCTCATTTTTTGCTGCATGCTGCCTGGTTTGATGTTTGACTTGCAAGAATTAAGTAAATACCTTTAATGCCCCATAAATAGTACTGTCTATTAAGCTATATTGCAGTGCTTTCATTGGCATTATTTCAGAGGAGGATTATTTATGCAGAAGATTTAACATTGCACTAAATTTGAATACATCTAGCATTGCTTTTACAAAACATAGAGATTGATTCAGAGAAATGCAGAGCATTTGCAAGAGGTCCTTATTTCCCCGTAGCTCTGTCAATTGCCAAGTCCAGAAATTTTAAATTAATGGTGATTTAAGCATATTACTTGGCAATGAATTGTGCTAAGCGGCTCCATGGATATCACTTTAACTTTCTCAGTGCATTCTCTTTTTAAAGTGTGAGAAAAAATACATTTAGTCTGTAAGCGTACCACTCCCAAAATGATATCCCTGGAAAGATGCAACAAAGCTCCGGAAGACAGAGTAAGAGTTATTTTTAAGTGATCTTTAATTACAGCAGTTGTATTGCTGAGTATTTTTCTAAACCATTCAGAGCTCTCTCTGTCTCTGTATGTACATGTGCGTATGTGTACATACATTATATGTATATAGAAAATACACACAAAAAAATATGTATATATATTTACATGTAAAGCAAAGCAGAAAGCTCTCTCATAAAAATAAATATATTTGATATCTGCAGGGAATGAACTTGTAATATAATAATATTGCATTACTATTCTATTTGAAATTCCAGTTAAGTAAACAGAAGAAATAAAAGTTTCATGAAATGACCTTGAAATTAGGTGTATTTGGAACTAAATGTGAAAACAGATGGCCTTTGCATGTTCCTAGGATTTTGCAGGTCCTACTTCCTAATATTATCCTCATTCATATTAGGATTCTTATTATCCTTCTCATGTGAGTAGGAATTTGAAAGATTAATTTTAAATGTATCTTACAGAGGGAAGAAGAATCTACAATGTGATTTGATTTTTGTTATATACAGAGTATCTGCCAGAGTATCTGTGATCTGTCCTAGTGTACTTAAGTGAAACAGAGTCTCATATTTATATTACAAAAAGGAAGGGGGAGAGGGCAATGTTCTTCAGGGGGTTTGCAGAGGTTACTGAAGTCAAAGAAACTGTAGTTTGGCTGTTTTCCCTTAAAAGATTAATTTTGCAGTCAGACTTTCCAAGGTGCACCAGCTTCAATGAAGAAACGTGTATATGTTCAAAGGACAGCTAAAGATGATTTCATAGAAAGCATTTCAGGATATTAAAGAAGTAAAAAATCCCACTGAATTTATAAGTGATAAGATTTTCTTTCCTGCACCATTTTTTATTACTTTCAGATCAAGCTGTCCTAAAGGTCTTCTTACTGGATTTGAGAGAGACCCAAGGAAGTCATTCAGAGCTGGGCTGCAACTAAAATTAGTTTTACTTCAGATATAAAGTCCATCCAAAACCAGATTATCAGAAGAGTTGTGCTCCCTTTTAGGCATCAAAATAAGGAGCCAACTTTTGAGATGCCATGTTCAGTACCAACTGGTTGAATGGCCACCCTATAACCATTAACAATATCTATAGGTTAACCTAAAAACAATGCTCTGGGCATTTTAGACTGCTGGGCTATGGGACCACTGGATCTAGAGCCATTCTAGAGCCCATCCTCTTTGAAGAAACTATGATTTCCTTTACCTCTATCAGCAGATTTTTAAGTAAGAGCAAAAACATATTTTACCTTCCCATAGCACCTAAAATACAATTTTATATTGCTTTAAATTATACAGCACTCCCACAGCCTTTGTGGATGTCAAAATCTTGGACTCAAATTCCAGGGAACTAAGATCTAATGTATACGAATGTATTCAGTGAGCAGATCAACATGCTTCTGAGTATTACGCAGGAAAGTTTTCTCTTTGTATTTTTTTTTTTTTTAGTTTAATTCAGTTTCTCTTTTTGCTGCCATATTGGTGACACTGATTATCAGAAGCACTGATTACTACTTATTGGGTATTAATTAAATAAAAATAAAAAAGAAACAGCAAAATTGCTACCAATGTGCAATTGATACTAATCTCCTACTACAGCATGCAAGTGGAGAAGGGGCTGCTTTTGGAAAAGAGCAGTTTTTGTCATATTCACATAGTGTTCAGTCAGATCAAATTATGCTGATCTCTACGAATGTTTCAAAAGGAAGCAGTATCTTTTGAGAAAACAGAATCATTTATATCTATATATTTAATGGATAATAAACTGAAGTTAGCATTATGGGGTAAAATACTAGTGGAATTACACAGAAGGGCCTAATTTCTGTGACCTAAACGTTCTTTTCTATAAAATGATGATTTATTTGCATTGGCAGCATATTATAGACCAATTTGCCTTGCCCAGGTACTGCTGCATCCTCAGGTTCTTTTACTCAAATAGTTTCTGCTGGATTTATTGGACTATTATTTGGATTATTTTTAAGCCCAAATTCCTGTTGCTCTAAGCAAATGAAGAGAAGGCAGTGGTTTTAGTTGCACAAGGACAGTGAGCAAGATTTGGTGCTAAAGCATATAAAATAATCAGACGATAAATAACACTTCCATTCCTTTTCCTCTGTTTATGTGAGGGATAAAGCTATCTGAATCACTTGAGTGATTTAAAAGTAATTCACCTTTTCAAATGCCAATGGGATTTAGTTTTTGCAGGTATATTTACTATAGCTGCATGAAAAGATTTTTTGTATTTACCTTAGTCACAATTAATTTTGTTTCTCACTGTTACTCCATCCGATTCTTTCCTTCCATTTTTAAAGAAGTTTATATTTAAAAGGAATAGCAAAAGTTTTGTCTAAACAAAATTAGGCCAAATTAAATGTTCACAGGAGCCACTTGTCTCTTGTTTCTGTTGTTGAATAACAAATGTATTAGAAGCCTTTCTGGTGTTACCTTCCATGCAGATGTTTCTCATGAAAAGTAGCAAACTGAAATCTTGTTTCAGCCTTTAAGTCTGTAAACTCTTGGCTTTTATTTCCCTAGGACTGAAGACCATTGTAGGTGCACTTATCCAGTCTGTTAAGAAACTTGCTGATGTGATGATCCTGACCGTTTTCTGCTTGAGTGTCTTTGCCCTCATAGGCCTCCAGCTCTTTATGGGCAACTTGCGACACAAATGTGTCAGGGACTACACCCAATTTAACTCTACCAATGGCACATTGTATTTGGATGGTAGAACATGGAACAACTCAGATGACTTTCTTAGTGATCCAGGTAAACTCTTTTATTTACTCTATTTTTTTTATTAGTGTTCTGTTTTGTTTTGATTTTGGTTGGCCTTGGTCTCTTCTTTTTTCTGTATTACTTTGCTCAAAATCTCTGTATAAACCAGTATACTGCAGGTAGTATATGACGACTCCCTTAGCACTGCTTTCTTCATAATGTTCATGTGGTTTCAAAAGAGCCTGAATGGCGTTTTCCAATATGCATGGTTTTTTTTTTTTTTTTTTTTTTTTTTCAGTTTTAGGGTGTTTCATGACATGTCTCTTTTCTGAAATCAGGTGATCATGTGAAATCATGTGAAACCATGTGAAAATTTCACTTTTATGTATGGGTCTGTTTTGCTTGCTGTTTTATATGTCAGTATGTAGTTCTTACATTTTCTAGCAAAGCTTTTAAATCTGAGTAGTCTTAAAAAATAAGTCAGAGCAATTTGGTATTTATTAATTTGAAAAAACCCAAGAGCATTTTTTTCATGCTATTAGGGCCTTAACTCATTATCTGGATTGGGCCATCCTGCAATATTTGGTGCTCTGATGTTTATTATCAAAAGACTTGTTTTCTAGGCCAAAGCAATTTTTAATACTCTGAAGTCTGCTGTACTTTGAATTACAATCAAATAGGTTCTCTAAACTCATTTATTAACATTTAAACAAAAAGACTTTCCTGTAAATAAACTTCAGAATGAAAACAAGTAGCCCAGCTATCATCTGGGGACTACTCCAAAGCCCTCTGAGTCACCAGGAGATTCCCATCAACTGCAGCGGACATTGGCACAAATTCTAAACAATTTAATGATGGTCTGGAGAGAAAGCAGCAGCCAAACTGATGTACCTTGCTGGAACTTGTGATCAGTGATGGATTTTGGTATTTCATTTACTTTGGGAAGGAAGTATCCACCTAGTCAAATCATGAACCTGAAATTTGTTTTGAGAGAAGTTACAATGAGTCATGAGGTGTATATACTCCTATAGTATAAATTCTGCATCCTCATGCTTTTATCTGTGACGGTCTGCATTACAAAACCTCTTAGCTTGACTCATGGCAGCTGTCTGACTTAAACCAGGACTCTCATGAGCTCCTGGCACAAGGTTGCCTCCAACCTCTGTTTTATACACCTCATCTGGTCTACAGGGATTGGCAAAGGGCAATCCAACAGTTCCTCACTTTAGATTTCTGGCCTTTCTGCTTAGTTTCTCCATAGTCCAAGGCAGTGTTGGAAAGAGTGACATTAGAGGCATTTCACTTAGAATAAGTTCTATATTGATGTCTTCTGATGCAGAGCTTGCGGTGTGATTGATACAGGGTTAAGAAATGGCAGTTCATGAAGCTCTGGCTGAATAAGAGTCATCCTCAGGCCCAACTTTGATCTCCTAGCTTCCCGTCTAACCACAAGTCTTCCCCTTGCACCTATATTTGAGATTCTTGCTAGCTAAAAGGGAAAAGAGTTAAGTGCTCCATGCTAGAGTTAACAAACCATGCTAGACTCTGCTGGCCTGCAATGCACCAGCTGACAATTTTTTTCCACCCATGTTCCAGTTTCAAGATGAGTGTCCGTGGAGCTAGCAAAGATATCTCTGCACCTGTGGTGGATTAAAGCACTCTGTGGTTCTTCCACCCACAGATAACTGGCAGCTGTTTGAGGTTCTTCTCTCCCTCTCTCAGAGAGACATCAAAAGATTCAGTAGCGATAGCTGGATGTGTAAAGCCCTGAGGTAAAGTGAAAGGGAAGAAATGGAGCTGTGAAGATAGTTGGCTCTCTGGGAACAGAAGCAGAGAAATGTACCACTGGGTAGGCTCTATAAGGATATCGTTAGTGTCAAGGACAACTTCAGCATTGCTTTATTTGGGAGGAATGGTACAGCTGCTCTAGCATCACATGAGCAAGTTCATTTGTGCTGGTCAAGCTGGGCTTGACTTTGGAAGTGGGAACCACTCCTGTCAACCTGTCTGGTAAATCCAGGAATGATTACTATGATCATGGAAGTACACTTCTTATCACTCAAAGAGATTTGTCTAGTACAAGGATTGTCAATTTGGTGAGATAATGGATTAAAATCAATTAAGGTTTGACCATGTGGCATTAATAGCACGTAATAATATTATCGGGCATTGTTTTCATAATAGCTGAAAATAAAGAAATTATGTATTATGGCATATAGAAGTTAGTTACAGGGGATGAACAGGAATGATTTAAGTAATTCAAGTACTGCGTCAGTACAGAAGCCACTGAAGAATCAGAAGAAAAGTAGATTTAGAGGAAAAATGTACTGATATCTGAATAAGAATAATGAAGTGGTCCTAGAAAAGCTGGAGAAGGTGACCAAGCTATCAGGCTAGGAAGAGCAGTGTGGAGTAGGATTTTCAGATAGTGCTGACTGTTTCATTTACACAATGCAGAAATGGAGGGGCTGGTTCATTTTGTAACTAGATAGGATAGTGCTTTACATTTTATTTTGCATAAGTATTATGGTGAAATGAAGTGACTAACACAGAAGTACCGATCACAATTTAACAACAACTCAGATTTCAAGTGCTGGAGAGAATTAAGCAATGAATGCAGTTAAATTAAAGTGTAGACAGACCAAATTAGATAAAAAGATGAATATATTAAGAAACAGAATAGTGTCAGTGTTTATTTTGGAGAAGAACTAGAGAAGAAAATTGGCCAACATGTTGAGATTGTGGCGTTCCCTCAAAGGGAACGTAGGCAATTGTAAAAGTTCCTTAGAGACTTCAGAAACAATGTGGCTGAGTAACTTAGTTTGGAGCAGGAATAGTAATAGTAATAGTAAAAAGCCAAAAAGAGAAAACTTGAAGTATTACCGTAACATTATAAGAATAATATTAAAAAAGAGGATTCAAAATAAAAGAAGCTGATGCTGTTTATCAGGACATCAAAATAGAGAATCAAAGGGAATGTATACTATTTTTGTCCTTCCTGAAGAGCAAAACCTTGTTCTGTATTCTCTCAGAGAGAGTTTAATGTTTCAAAAGACAAGGGCAGAGCCTCTAAGATGAATCTTCTTCCTCTTGTGACTTTGAACCTTCTTTTGCATGAATGAAATAACAAAACTAGTGGAAGCCCTTAAAAGGGCACTGTAGTAAGGAATTGTCTGTTGTGGCAAAGGAAATAGCTGAGAGACTTAGTCATGATGTGCAAAGGAAGATAAGAACTCAGTCTTCAGTTTTTCTGAGTCTTTTTTTCTGGCTTTAGATAACTGCGTGCCACAGGCACAGGAAATGATTTACTTCTGTAGAAGGCTTGGGTTGTGTTCCAGCTCTGGTTTTCTATTCCGATGTGACATGGTATCTGGACTAAACTGTAACCTATCTCCTTACTTTATCTTAGCTCTTCAGGCAAGGAAACTTTTCTCATCTGCCTTCCCAACCCCCTTGTCTTGATTTTATAGAAGAGGAAAAATAGGTCTATTTATAAATCTTTTTTTTGGGGTCATCAGGATGACTGAAAATCATACAGTAACACCTGATTTTTTTGATTGACTTTTGAGGAAATACCCGCTATTATATTCTGTGATATAGGAATTCCTCCCTTTAGCTGCCTGTTCAGGACTTGCATGTGCTCTCCTGTTCTACCACTGCCAATGGCATAAGTGCCATTTTGTAGCTCTTCAAACTTTTCCCATAAGAAAATGCCCATTCTGTTCAGGTCCTAATCAACTTGTACTTGACAGAAGTGCCTAAGAGAGCTCTCCAAGTCCTGCACACATAACTGTGAACCCTACTCTTTGTTTAGAGCAGTGGTAGATAGCAGGACTCCCTCCTTCTTCTGCCCCCACCAGAGACCTATTTTGCATCTGCTGTGCATGGTGCTGGGACAATACTTGAGATGTAGATAAGGTTCTGCTTTCCTGATCCAGACTCATCATTCATGGTCTTTGGACTCATACCATTACCCACAGTCTCCTGATAGATACTGAAATGTAGGGAGAAAATTAATCCCACCTCTGATGTTGCACCTCCTTGCTGTCTCTAGATTATACATTTTTTTCTCAGCTTCCCAGAGTTTTGAGTAAAGTCAAGTCTGTGGAAAACTCGAAAGTCTTCTCAGAGTTTCGAGTAAAGTCTAAACTCTGTCGTGTAAAGTCAAGTCTAGTAAAGTCCGGGACCCATGTAGGACCTGCTATGTATTTCATGTTACGATATTGTGCTTCTTTGCACGTCAGATGCCCCTGGACCGGCTCACTTACTCTGATGTTCTTTCCTTCTGTAGGGCTTCCAAAGAAAGATCTAAGTCTCATACAAACTAAATATTTCCTACCTATTTTATTCATTGCTTCTCCTTTGGTTGTTTTAATGACTCCTGCAGCTGCAGGAAATGCCCGGCAACTTGGCTAAGCAAGAGACAGAAGCCATGTATCTGGAATTCAATGGGAAAAACTAGACTGAGACATCTCTTCCATTAAAGTTCATTAGTTTTTAAGTCATTTATACAGTAAACAACAGTGATACTGAATAGGCCTGGCCTGACTGTCGAGAAGGGGGTTTCTCTGCATTGCCGAATGCATAGCTGAATTTGGTGACAGCAGCTTCATTTGAACTACTGTAGGTGCCTTTGGTTTCTCAGTTTAGCAGCTGGCCACAGCTGTTGTGGTAAGGTGGAATATCTGCTTAGTGTCTTCTCATTTCACAGCAGAGATGCAGGTTAAAAATCTGCATTTCCATGGGCAAGTCTATTCCAGGGTAAACAGGATTTTTTTTTTTCATTTCTTTCCATTAATTTAAACAACTGGTTCTCTGTGATTAAAAAAAAAAAGTACAAAATAGTGATAGTTTACATTCACATCAGTATTTGACCAAATTTTTAAGCTACTTTTGAGAACTCTGTAATAGTTTAGAAATACTGAGTGACTGAAAAAGTGCAAGCATAGTTCCAATATTTATAAAGATTTCTAGGAAAGAAGCTGCAAATAGCTTCTTTCTTGAAAGCCCATCTTAGGAAAAGGTTGTGGTGTCTAAATTAAAGATGCACC